AAGGACAGTGTCTGTTTGGGGGTGTGGGCTGATACTGAAATAAATGGGATCTGTTGAGTTCACCCACAAAGCTACCCAAGTAGCTACTCCAGCTAACAGAATATTTGTGGTATTTACTGCCTCATCAAAACAACCACCGGCTTCTTCAGGTTGACTCATTTGAAAAGAAGAAACAAGCAACATCCTTTCTAAGGACAGCTAAAGTTTCAGAGAAAGAAATGTATCACACAACTATTCTTCTCTAAGGAGCAGCAGCATTTTTCAGCGAGGTTACCCAAACTCACTATGTCTAAATTGTAAGAGCAATTAGGCCTGTAATTTCAGCTGAGCATTTGAAGTCTTGAGCACACAGGGAAATTGGCCCAAATAACTATTAGGTATTAGTCCCTGCTAGTAATAAATGCTCTGAAGGCCAAAGGAAGGCATTAGCAGCCCTTGTGCTACTCCCTTAACAGGGTGTACGCATGTAACTAATTGGAAACCAGTAAACAATCCTGGCATTGAAGCCCAGAGCAGATAATCTCACTCACACTACTTCAGTCATTTTCTTCTCATGTGGCTGACTGGAATAAAACTGCTAAAATACTGTTTCCCTCATGCAGAAAAAGATCTAGGGGATATAATAGATCACAAGCTGATTAGGAGTTAACAGTGTCAAGCCATTGTGAAAAAGGCAAACACTGCACTAAGCTGTGCAAACAGGAGTATGGCTTGCAAGACATGAGAAGTAATCCTGCTCTGGTCCAGCCCCAGCAGGAGCACCAGGACTGGTGCTGGGGCTTATTCTCCAGCGGAGATGCAAAGTGCCCAGAGAGCATCCAGAACAGAGCCAGGAGAATAAACAAAGGTCTGAAACATCACTGAACAAATCAGATGGCCATAACCTCAACAAGAGCGTGGGATGGGAGAGAAACTCAACAGCAATTTGAAAATTCATAAAATCATAAATTCATAAAGGGCTTGCAGGCTGGGGAAGGATAAAGGATTTGTGATGGAATTTGTAAGCCTCCTCAGGCAAAGAAAGGGTTAACATAGGCATTAGCAAGAAAGCAGCTGAGAAGGCACACAGCTGCAGGGGATAAAGCCACTGGAGAGGGCTATCAGGGCACCCCTGGAGCAGGGGGCTGAGCAGCCTCTTGGGCTGGAGATGCAGGCTGAAGGGATGGGGCCTGTCTCCTTCCTGAGAGATTCTAGTCTTATCTTTGGGCAGGTTACCGGCCTCCTTGTTAGTATTTAGGGTGTTTGATTATCAAATCCCTTTTTAGGCCTGCAAAAAAGCAGGGTAGGGTGGTAAGGGTCTTGTTGTGTTCTTTTTAATAGCCTAGCAAACTTTTCACATCTGGTCTAAAATGCAGACAAAGTGCCAACGCTTCTAAGGCAGGAACAAAGTAGGATAATTCTTGCCTAAGGTAAAATATTAAGGTGCCGTTACTAAGAGGATTCAAAGTGAAGAGCTGTACCTTGGAAGCTGAACACTATGGAGGGGAAGAGAGAGAAAGAAAAAGCATCTGTATAAAAGGGATAAGTTATGCTATGGGCTCAGCCTCAACAGCTCTAAAACTGGGGAGATCACAGAAGTCTGCATCTTCTAGCCACAGGGAGAAGATCTTAGGCAGCCAAATTTCAGGGGGCTTAGAAAGTGCTGCAATATCTAAGCTGGATATTAAGAAATTCTTTCCATGGGCAAAGAGAGCAGGGACTGCAGTGAAGTGGCTGAGGCTGTTATGAGCCCCACAGAGCAGTAGGTGTTTGTGAGTTGAGCCTGTCTCAGGATGCCAGGATTAGATGAGCTTCTCATGTCCCTTTCTGCTGTTTTGTACTGTAATGAGAACTATTGCCCCCCTCTTCTCTTGCCACTCAACTGTGACATTTTATGAAAATAACAGAGCATTTTTGGAAGCTCAAAGCATTCTTTGAATAGAAGTGGTTTCAAAACTTGCTCCGAGCTGAATTTTTTACCTACTCCGTTGAATGATCCTTTCAGCATAGTGAGTTCTGGAAATACTTCAGTACTAGAGCTTCTAACTTCAGTGACAAATGTGTTAAAAGAACACTCTATACTCACTCATTCTGTCTTTCCAATAAAGATACAACAAATTAAGTTGCTCACATGCTCCACAACACAACAGATTTGTTTGTACAGATGCGTTTTTACCACCCCAGTTACCAGTTGAGCTTTGCAAAAAGAAACTAAACCCAAGGCTACTCAGCCTCAATAACCCCACTGATAGCCTACACAAGCAGTCTTGCTTTATCTTCTTTTAAACTCCAGTGAAATCAGCTGAGATCTGCCCTCACAAGTCAATATGTCCATGTTGTTCATAATGTGAGTCTGTGTCGTTTTAGAAATGACAGTTATATGTAAAAAAAAAAACCAAAAAACAAAACAAACATAACCAATTTTTTAGATATTATGCTTTTCCATTAAGATGAGGAAAATTTCTATTTGACAGCTAAAGCCTCCAGAAATTGCAAATCTTAGTTCACAGTAATACTCCTGAAAAGATTATTTTGTCAGAAATAAAAGTGAAACATTCATTTGGTAAGAAATGTCCGAGTTTGCAATGCTTTTAGCTGAGAGGACTGCTTTGTGAGCTGCCCCCCACCACTGTGAAAAATCTTTAACACAGAGCAATCAGAACTGGGACCAAACCATCTTTGCTTGCTTCCTAATAAGTTTATTGCGACAGTGTTGGGAGATCTCTTTCCATTCTGCCCCACATGAAAGTGGAATGGGCAGTGAAACAGTTGACTGTACTTTGGAAACTTTCATTTCCCAAGTTGTCCAGGGACACAGAAACGCCTGCTGGGATTTCAAAATTCAGTAGGTAAGAACCCTCACAATGGGTGTTAGCTGCCTAGGTTGCCCTGACAATCCCACTGAATAGGTTCCACATGCTTGTGGGCCTTTAAATGTCTTTCCAAACCCACCCCAAACAAAAATCACATTCTAAGCAGAAGTTTGTATTTAATTACTTTCTGTGGTCAGCTACATAATATAACTTAGAAAACATTTCTGGTGGGTTTGACTGGTTCTGTATTTTCCTCAGGGAAGGCAGCAAGGGCTTTGTCTGCATTTTGCTTCGCTTAATGAGGCGCTGTCCCTGACTAGGACTTTTGTTTGGTTTAGGGTGAGTAAAGCAATACTCTGCTACACTTTGCTAGATAAAGCAAGGCACGCAGGCAACATAACAGTGCCAGCAGCCTTTGTCGCCAGGAACAGGAATGATCATATTTAACAGCGCTGTTCATGGAGAGATTAAACTCAGGCTGGACGGTGAGAAGCCGTGCAGATAATTTGAAATAGATTCCGAGGGTGAATTACTGCTTGGCTGTTCTCCTCACCTCAGTTCTCAGATTTGTGTGCCAACCAACATTTTAAGATAACTCTGCTCTGTTTTCTCCTTGAATTGTCTGGCTGTTTAACAGGCTCTTCAAATAAACAAGGGATAATCTCAGGATTTTGCTTAACAAAGATTGCTTTGTGCAAATTTAAAAAATTCTGAATAGGTTGTTGTACAGGGCCTGGTGCTGCAATCCCTTTTAGCTGTGAATACTTTCAAGGTAGTAAGTGGTTGCACAACCATAATTTTAGTTAATAAACGATCAATAATACTTTTCAGTGTACTTTGAAATGCCTTCCAGTATCTGAAAGGGCCTACAAGGAAGCTCAGAGGAACTCTGTCAGGAACTGCAGTGACAGGACAAGGAGTAATGGGCACAAGTTGAAAGAGGGGAATTTCAGGTTAGATATCAGGAATAAATATTTTACTGTGAGGGTGGGGAGACCCTGGCACAGGTTGCCCAGAGAAGCTGTGGCTGCCCCATCGCTGGAAGTGTTCAAGGCCAGGTTGGACAGGTTTGGAACTGCCTAGGACAGTGGAAGGTGTCCCTGCCCATGGTAGGGAGTGGCACTGGATCATCTTTAAGGTCCATTCCATTCCAACACCTTAACATTCCATGAGTCTATGACAATGGCACCATTATCACCAGCAATTTTTTCTTTTTAGAGGTTATTAGAAACTTTTCTTTTAATTAACAAAACACTGAACACAGTAGTTCAGACCAAGAAAAGCACAGACTGGAGAGATTAGAGAACATTGGCATTACCATTATCATTCTCCAGGAGTATGTACGATGAACAACTCCAAAGCGAAAAATTTGTTTCAATTTCCACAAATTTCAGTTCAAGCAGGCTACTACCTGTCGCCACACCTCAGTGTGGGAAATAACTTTGAAAAAGCGTTGTAACACTGCTGAAAATTTACAGGATTTAGCTTAGAGAACAGGTGGGCAAGCGCTTGCGGTCAGCATCAATCCAGGAATCAGTGTGAGAGGGAAGAGGTGTGCTAACGTCTTAACAAACAATTCGATGAGTGAAGGTATGGGTGTTAACGCCTTTGAAATGCATCTCAATAGAGGGAAGAGGTGTGCTAACGTCTTAACAAACAATTCGATGAGTGAAGGTATGGGTGTTAACGTCTTTGAAATGCATCTCAGTCTCTATTAACAAGCAGCAGGTTTGCTGCAGAGCTCAGCTTGACTGCTGAAACTGATGAGGGTCGGCACAAGCCCGAACTTCTGAACATCGGGGAAAATGACATGGTTACGGCGGGGAACGCGTGGCGGGCGACTCGGGAAGGCTGCACCTCAGCACGGCGAAAGGAAGAGGGGTAGGAGTTTGGGATAAAAGGGAGATCCCCGAGAGAGAAAGCCCCGTGGGCGTGTGGCTTCTGCCTTTATTCGAAAAAAGATGCAGGACGCCTCTGTCTCTTTTGTGGACATTGGTTTTTCACAGCGTGATTTTCCGTACGACTGTCTCCACGGCCGAGGCCGGGGTGCCCTCACGGGCCGGGGTGCCCTCACGGGCCGAGGCCGGGGTGCCCTCACGGGCCGGGGCCGGGGTGCCCTCACGGGCCGGGGCCGGGGCTCGGCAGCCGCCGCCAGCACAGCCTCTTCCGGCCGCTCCAGCCTCCGTCTCTGTGGTTGTTCCTCCCGCTCCTCCCTGCGGGGCGGCGGCGATGGCGGAGCCGGGGAGAGCCGGCGGGAGCCCCGAGCCCCCCGTGCAGGTGGTACGTGACAGGCGGGGCCGGGCCGGGGTGCTCCGGGCTGGGTGTGCCCGGGGCGGACACGGCGGCTCGGGCGGCGCCGGGGCTGGCCCGGGAGAGCTCTCCTGGAGGGCTCGGTGCCGGCAGGTTCGGGTACACGGGGTTGGCAACGAAAGTCGTAAAATCTTCCTGCAACACTTCCTGTTTTTGTTACTTCCCGTACTTATATACATATATATATACATACATATACATATATGTGTATATAGTGTGTATATATATATAATATATATATTATATATATTATATTTTTGTGTATGTGCACTTATCTATGAATGAAACACACAGGTAAATAAAGTTAAATATACGACATCTATCCCTATCTGTGCCTATGTAGCTATATATAAATAGAAATATAAAAATACAGGAATGTATGTAATATTTGTCTGGAATGTGTGGCGTTCAGGGAAAAACAGGTCGTGTCGCAATGCTCACGTCCAGGTTTGATTCACAGCTCTGTTTCAAGAGTCATATTTGGCTCACAGGCCATGAAACTCCTCTCTGTTGGATGCTGCTGTAAATAAATCAGCCTCAGCTAATGAAATGGTAATTGGGACTCAGATCACTCAGATTGTCACTCAGATGATTTGTAACGCCAAAAGCACATTAGTTGTTTGCAATTTATGCCTCCAATGCTCAAAATTACTTTAAGAGATTTACGCTCTCTGTAGTTCACTGTTTTGGTAGCAGTCTTCTAGTATTCATCTGTGCTGGGACAGGAGAACTAGAATAACCATCTGTGCTGGGATTGAGAAGTAGGAGTTGGCATAAACTCTAGCAAAAGGACACTGGGAAAACCATTCTAGGTTTCCTTATGCCTGCTTTTAGTGAGTGCCTTAGCAAGGCTGGTGTTTGACCCTGGAGAGAGGGTTTGTCAGCAATGCCAGAGCTTGTTGAGCTTGTTTTGGGACAGGAGAAGCAGACACAGTCTCTGGAGGTTTTTGCTATGAGACTGTACCTGTAAGTGAAAGAGTGCCCTGGTTCATGTTTTTCCCCTCTTTAAATGGTCCAAGGAGATTGAATTATTCTGGTACAGTCACACAACATTAAAAGCCAATTTATGACTGTCCAATTGCAGCTCTTAAGCCAGGGTACAAATCTGGTAATGAACAAGGGAGAAATGAAAGTCTAGATTGTTGATTTATCCTCAAACTAAAACTAAACACCAGTTTAGTTTTGGAATACCAGTGAGCTGAGCAACAATGGTGGAACCTAAGAAAACTCTAGTAAACAACATCAGCTATACTCTGAAGTGTTAATCCTATTGCTAAGTACAGTTACTTGTGTGGATTCGTTGATTTTTCAGGTTTTACACAGAAGTATCACCAGCACTTCAGCTCTGAGCCTTAGTTTGGCAGAGGTCCAGTTCTGCATGGTGGTTGTGGTTCTGTGGAAGTAGAATTTGCTCACAGTAATGTGTTTAGGAGCATGTTAATATATTATGAGTTCAGTTCAGAGCACCTCAGTGCCACCAGGTATTTATGGGTTGTTTTATATGTGCTGCCCTCAAAGTACTTTTTTCTGCTTTCAGTTCAAACTAAACAGGGAGGTCAAACATCATCTTGCTATTTTGCACCGCTGCCCTGACTTAAAACAGGAGTGCACCACGGAAAAAAAGCAAAGAAGTTCCAGTTTTCAAACCAATGGCGAGCTACTTGGTGATGGCTTAGTCAAATTTTTACTAAGTGAATCAGAAAACAAATTGAAAAATAACTGATTTTTCTTGATGTGCAAAAGTGCACAAGTTCATATTGTCATTGGAAGAATCGTAGAACCCTTTTTTCCTTAATGTATATGTTAGATTGATTGGTATGAATGTGTAGGGTCATATTTTAATTGCCATGTTCACATAAAGCATATTAAAATCTTGAGTAAATTGAATATAATACCTCAGAATCACAGAATTTTTCTTTTATTTTAGTCTCAAAGTACTAATCTGAGACAGTTCTGAAATAATCTTTTTTTGTCTGTATGTTGTAGTTATTGGGTAATCAGTTTCACTTTTTTTTTGTTTCTCACTATGTTATTTATCTCTCCAAAACACAAATCAAAGGCCTACTTAGCTTTAGAGCAGTTGGAGGTGGAATAATTTTTAAAATCTGGGTTGCAGCCCCAGGGTCCAGCTGCATATATGAGCATCTCCAATTAGGCTTGAAGAGAAATTGATGATTAAGATGTATTAATGGAGGACAAAAGTGAGGAGAGTCTTACAAAATGCAGGAATACAAGAAACAGGTCAGGATGGTGCTGCAGTTGTTTCATTTGTGGGTTTGCTTCAGTGGTCTCTCCTATTTCCTTGGACTTCTATCAAAAACCATCTTGTGGAACTTAATTTAAAAATAAGCTTGATAGAGAAGACAGCAAATCATATATTTGTAATGAAAATAAAGGTTCTTTGCCCACTTTTATATTAAGATGCATTTTTTGGTGAAAGTTAGTTTCAGAAGGATCTGCTACTTCTCCTTTTAACTAAATATACAGTAAGTAAACAAAAATATGCTTCCTGACATGCATGTGGATTTCTGTTTGTTTTTTGTAGTCTGTCATTGTGCCTGTTCACAACAGTGAATGCTGGTTAGATGAATGCCTGAAGTCAGTTTGGGAACAAGATTTTAAAGGAACCATGGAGCTGTCGATTTTTAATGATGCCAGTAAGGTGTGTGTCAGACCTTCTTTAAAATACTCTCCAAGTAAATACTGTCTCTAACAAGAATTTTTGGTTCACTTCAACACACAAATTAAAATAGCTGCATCTGTGTCATTATAATTTTTTCTAGGATTGTTCAGCTGAAATAATTGAAAAATGGAAGATCAAGTTGGAAGAAGTTGGTATTTCAGTAATCATTGGAACCAACAGTTCCTCTCAGCCTCGAGGTGGTATGTAGCTTCATTTTGTGCAAGTTTGGTTCTTATTGCAGGCACCTTCTGATTTTTAGTTTGAAAAGTGTCTTTGTAGCCATTTCCACTGCAATGGAAAAAAACCCACATTGTTTTCTAGAGCTCTGTTTGAAAACTCATTCCAATTTGAATTTGGCCCTGTTGCTTTGGGCTCTGTAGAATTTGTTTATATGTTCAAGGAAAGAAGAACTTGGCTTAGCACTTGTGTGCTCTACTCTGCAAAAGCAAAAGAATTTTGTTTAATTGTAGTATACACAATGTTGTTAATGCTTACAATTTTACTGTGGCTTTCTGATCTCTGATTTATCTTCAGGAGATGGGTTCTAAGAAAAAAATACATTAAAAATTCCTTGCATAAGGATTTTAAAAGTAAATGCATATTTTTCAGTCCAGAAAAATAGACCCTGAAATAGAAAACAAATACCTTTTTGATATTGCTTCAATGATCAAATCAAAACAGAGGTTTCAGGAGTTTTGCTGTGAGCTAAAATCTCACTAAAGTCTCAAGTATTCACTCAAAGGGCCAAAGCAATATGTTTAGTGAGCTGTCAGACAGGTGTATGATGTGATCCCCTGTTCATTTGCATGCTAATATGAATTATCTTCCACTGCAGGAGATTGCAAATAAATCTCTTTAAACAGATTTTCTTTTGCTTGCTTTGGTTGGTTTATGTTTGGGGGGGTTTTAGCACAAAATCTTCCTAAAATGTAAAACAGAAATAAAAGTCAGTTGGTTTTTGGAGAAGCTGTTGTTGAGTGCCAGTGAAGTTGGAAGATCACAAAGGAAGAACAGTGTGCTCACATTTTGTACTGGAGCTCTGTAACCAATGTTGCTGTCATTCTGGACTTTGTTTTAATGAGTGGACAGGTAGGAACTGTTGTTTCCAAGTTTGTGTCTTTGAAGTTATCTCTTAAAAGTCGCATTTTGGAAACACTGTAACACAGAATTTGGACAGTTTCTCTTTTTCACTGCGCGTCCTGTTTGAAGTGTAAAGAAACTCAGGCTCATTAGAGTCTCCTCAAGATGAGCTGCTTGTGCAAAAGCCCACTTCTGTTTCAGAAAGTTGGCTTTTCATCCCCTGTTGAAACATGCAAATAAATTGGGAGTTTGTGCACTGAATTCATCTGCAACCTGGTAGAGGCCCCTGGTTTATTTACTGCCATTTCTCCTGACTGTAGGCTTTACATCTGTTTTTGAATAGTTGTCAGACACAGCAATACTGAAGTAACACAGCATAACCCTTCCTATAAATATTTTTAGTATTTTAATACCTTTAGCATGAACTGGTGGTGTTTTGACAGTGCAGCTTGTAATATTAGAACTATTGGGCTGCTAATGACAAAAGGCAGACAAGGTTTTTAGAGGGAATTTTTCTCTTTTGGGCAGCTGATACAGCTGCAGTTGAGCAATGTCAAGAATTACACATAATCCTGTAACTTTTTCTTCTTTTTCTCCCCCCTCTGCTATTGGGTGATCAGTTTCTTTTCAAAACTGACTTCTTTCACTGATCAGGAAACTGATCAAGAAACTGAGTAGGTTACAATTTTTTAAGTCAAAGAACAATCCCAGAGGTTGTTCGTTCTGATACTTAAGATAGTTGGTAATGTTTCTGCTAATACCATCGTGTTGTGTAACATATTTGCCATTTTTACAAACATTTGCTATGTCTAAAGTCTTGCTCCTACTAGAGTGTTGTATCAATTGTGTATAAACTAGGTTTTAGTTTGCCAGAACACACAAGCAGGATGGGTTTTTTTTAAATTTTAGAATTCTGATGTCCGTTCACCTTTGCACTTCAGGAAACTGAACCCAAAACTGAGTTCCAGTTGTGAATTCCATTGTGCCAGTAGGGATATGTCAGATTATTTTTTGGTTTAGCATGCTTTTGTCAGTGTTGGGGTAGCTGGAGACTGAAGAGATCTTTTAATAAATTGGGAGTGGGAGGGGCTGTGCACTATTTAAATATATAATTTAAATAATAGTGTGAAACGCATAGTTCTGCTAAAAAACAAACCCAAGTTTATCCATGTGAGAGACACTCTCAGGTCACCATTAAAACACGGACATCTTTGCTTCATGGTTGTTAAATTTTTGAAGCAGGTTACTTGACATCCATAGGATTTGTTTGCTTTTGGTGATTTACTTTCATTTTGTTAAGGACTAGGTACAACTGGAAGGAGTCTTGCCTTTAAAAGAAGATGCTTTGGTACAGAAACAATGTGCTAGTCAGGCTTCACATCTTCGACTATTTACACAAGATTAGGATTTATTCCTGATTCTTTTCTAACATGTAAAAGAAAGGGGGGGAACCTTGGAAAAAAGAAAGGGTCACTTGCCTAAAAAAAGGAAACCTTTTTCTTTCCAAGAGTAAGGAATGTTAATATCTCACTGAGGCTTAAGTTTTTACGGCTGTAACCATGGTAACAGGCTCTTTTCACCAAGTAAGCAGGCCTTACAAAACTCAGAGACCTGGCACAAACATTTCATTTTGTTCAGTAGAGTAATATTAAAGAATTTTTTTTACTCATGCCAAACACAGAATTTGTTGTGGTGAAAGAATTTTTAATACCTAGTTTCTTCTATGAGGAGTTACATTTATCTTCTTAATAATTTAAAAAATATGTGTATTTTCTTCTCTCTCTTTCCTCTAAAAGATATCTGGTATATGAAAAACTTCAGGATGTTTCTGTCTTAAACATAGCAAGAAATATTTTCCAACTTGTTCTCATAACAAATACTAGATATTCCGGGATTTTATTTAAAGTGGTTTATTTGAAAATGAGATCTGAAATACTTCAGGAAGTTCATAGAGTAATATAATTGCCATCTTCTAGTTGCCTTGAAGCCTCCTTCACTCTTTCCTTACATTTTTGATTGCTTGTAATTCATTATTATCCATTGAAGGTTGTTGAAGTATTTGGGTGTGTTAACACAGCACTGAAATGTAAGTGCAGGCTGCTTTACAGCTGCTGTGGCTTCTGATAGTACCGAAGTGTTTAAAGTTGGGCACATTTAATTCTGCCATAATTTCTGTGCTGTTCTTTTATCTCCTGCTTTACTAGGGGTAAGTGAAGGACTGGGGCTGCTGCTTTGGCGTGCCCAGGCCTGCTGACTTGCATCACTTGTTTGCCACCCAAAGTGCTGGTGCCAGGACCCAGCTCTGCTGCTGTGGCAGCTCCTGTCCCTGCCAGCTGCTTTTCTACTGCCAGTAGGAAGGAGACTGAGAGTTACTGTGCAGATGAGATTCCATACTCATAGGTCTGTAAAAGGCAGTATGTAAACATCCTGTAAAATAATAAATCCAAAAAACCCACAGTGAAGAGAAGTTGAGGTGAGGATTAAAGTACATGAGAAAAAATAACACAGTTATAAGGAAGAGCCTTTATTAGTCCTGTTCTGGTGGTAGTTGACATAATGTTCCTTGAGGCAGTAAGAAATGCACTCATAAGTCTTTTTCTGTACTTGGACAGCTCAGCAAAATAGCCAAGGAGCACGTGCATTACAACTAAGGGAACCTTTGAGCCCAGTTAAATCTGTTTCCTGAGCATACTTAAATTTGTAGCACGTAAAAGGATAAGAGAATTACAGAGCTCTGCTTTTTTTCAAACGCAAAGTCAGAAACTTTGTGGATAATATTATTTAAAATTATTCTGCTCCACTTCATGGTGAGTTTTTTTGGCTTTGCATTTCCAGTTTTTCCCCTGAAGAGTAAAAACCTTACAGTATTGCATGTCTTCACTATGTTTATTTTGCAGGTCAGGGTGATCTTGCTGGATTCCCTGACTTGGTTCCATTAATACTCCAAAGGAAGCTTAAGTGTTAACATGTGACCAAGTGGAATCCATGCAGCATTTTTCAGACTAGCACTGGATATAGTGTGGGCTTTTCTTAGAATGCTGGGCAAGAATTCAGAGGTCGGAATGTTCTTAGGTTCACCTTGTGTACCTGCAGAAATGATCCCAAGTAAGCATTCCCACTCCAGTGGTTGCTGCAGTCCCATCCTTACCTTCAACTCTGGATTCCTGCTCCTTCCTATTTTTCTGCTTCTGCCATTTGTTTGATCCTCCAGAACAGTCATCTGCTTCAGAAATTAAGCCGACAGAAAAATTGTCTTCTTTGGTTCATTCATTTCTTCCTGAAATGAATGAGTTGGTAAAAAAATTCACCAAGTGTCAGGAGGTGAGAAACTGAGACACCCTGGGTGCCAATGTTTTCCTGAAGTGGCATTTCAGTGTGGTCTCCATTGAGGATACAACATGTTGTGGTATAAATAAATCACATTTGTGCTCTGTGTATGTATCTGTAAATCAGCTTGCTTTGGCTCCTCGCTGCGTCCCCTTTACACAAATGGCACGTGAAGTTTTTGTATTTGCAAACTTGTTACTTAACAAGCACCAAAGAACAGACATTTCTGAGTCCCTCTGAGATCCCTGATGGGAAAAACAGCAGTTTCTGGTCCTTCCCTGCCTCTTTTATGATTTGCTGGTATTTTTAGGGCTTGAAAGATGAATGTATGTACAGCCAAGGGTTTTCAGCATCTGCTCTTTGCAAGGGGTTGGCCTAGAGGACCTTTAAAGGTCCCTTCCAGCCCAAAGCTTTCTGATTCTGGATATAAAGCCTGCCCTTTTCAAGATACACATTACATATTATATCTTTGGGGAGGGCTGGCAAAAGTACTCTTATTCCACTTGATTGTAGAATTCTGGTAGTCACTCAGAGAGCATGAGTGACATAGCCCTCCTATTTCAATATTCACAAATTACCTTCTTTAAATATGGAAAAATCTGGTACTTTATGTGATACTGATTTTTGTATTTTCTTTCATTTGTTCCTCACTTTATTAAGATTTAAAAAGATGCAACAGTAAAACACCTCCATATTTTTATCTGCTTTCTCAACAGTTGGATTTGCTAAAAATCAAGCAGTAATTCAGAGCTCAGGAACCTATCTCTGCTTTCTGGATTCAGTAAGTTAATGCTTTTTGTCTAACTTGGTTTTGTCAATATAATCCTTTCCTTTTTAATGGACTTGCTGATTTGCTGCAAGACAACCTGCTTAAAGGAGTTTGTTTAATGTGCTGGTTGCTATTTATGGCTGTAAAGTTGTATTCCAACCTGTAGAAAGCCTTACATCATTCTTTGATTATATCAGATTTCACAAGCTGCCGTGAACAGGGCTGGGCAAGGTTGGTATTTAGGTGTTTTGAGGATATTTCTTTCCCACATTCTTCAGAAAATTGTATTGATGAGAAACTAAGAGCTAATCTACCGGCTTTTTAATGTAAAATAGGAGAAGTCTCACCTTCCAAGTGGAATTTTTTTTTTCCTGTCCTTTGTTGGATATCTTCTGTGAAGGCATTGAGCTCGGTAACCCCCAGATAAAGATCTCTCTTGGTGCAGCTGAATATGCAGGAATGGTTTCAGAGAGGTGCCCAGCTGAGCACCGCAGTGGGGCCGTGTGCTGGGAGCAGGCAGGAGGAGCAGGACCTTCGAGGCTCACTGGTCTCCTGTAATTTCACCTGAAGAATGATTTTTTTTTCCCCTCTGAATTGGAACTGAGCTATGGGTTAGGGTAGTACAGGATGAACTGGCTGCTGCCAGGGTTGGTTTTCAGCTACAATTCAACTGAATATTATGATTGTCTGTGCTTGTTAAAAAGTGTTGTGTGAACTCCGCAGCCATTCTCAGGTTTTAATTAGGGAAATCCTTCGGTTTGCAAACCCCACCTGCCTTATCAACTTGATGGGAGAAATGTTTTCCTGTTCATATGTTAAAATGTTGTGATTTTTGTCATATATTGTTAGTCAGTGAGGCTGTTTACCTATCTAAAATGAAAAAAAAATCAAAACCCAAGGGAACTTATTTATGATTTGCAAAGTTTGGGTATCCTAGGCTTGCATTACATTGCACAGGGCATTCCAGGGAGTCTGTAGGATGAGGAATGTGTGCTCTTGGGCTGGCTGGAGTTATCTGAGTCCACGAGTACATGAATGAGAAATTAATCTACTCTTGTCCCATGAAGCTTCATATCTTCTGTCTCAAATATGTACAGCATGATGTTCTGAAGTAATTTATGGGTTAGTGTTTCTTTTCCATCCAGACAGATGTTTTACAATCACTAGCAGTAAACTAGAAAATCAAATTCTCCAAATGAAGTTAATTCATATTTTCATAGTGATTCTTCAGAATTCTCAGTTTACCATATATTAAAATCTTCCTGCTGCTGTGTTGTTTCTGTTGGCTGACTATTGCAGGAAAACAAAATGTCAGGGAAGCAAATTACAATTATTAAGGGATATGACTGGTAATGATACTGCATTTCTGCAATATTGCCATTAGCAGAAGTTTATACTTAATACTATCAAGAATTACTTGAAGTGAGTTGAGGATCTTATGGTTTATAGTGTGGATAAGCTTAGGAGAAGTCACCAAGATTTTCTGTTCCATGCATTTCTATCACTTCTTCAAATCAGAGGCATTCTGGGCTACCAGAAGCCTAACCTTGTTACAAAAGAAATATTAAATACCTGGCATTACTTAAATGTATTTTCTACTGTCTCCCCTTGTGCCTACCATGTTTTGCTGAAAACAGATCAGAGCAAATAAAATGGATGTGGAAACTGCTACAAGTCCAAAAATTGCTCAGTGTTTTGGCTGCAGTTAGTAAATGTTGTGTGATAGTAGCTGGGAGCCAGATGTTGCCAGCTGTTTAACAACTCTGCTTCCACACAGCACCTACCTTCTTCATTTCAGTCACCAGTCCAGTATCCAGCTCTCTAGGAAGGAATGTTGATATCAGCCTGTTGGAATGTGCTGCAGTAATGGCAAGGAATTGACCTTCAGAAGTGCAGCCACAATTTCAGGTTTGCTACAGGTGGATGTGGAGAGGAATGGAGCTGGGGCTGTTTGTGCACATTGCAAATAGGTGGAGAAATGCATTCCTGGCTTTTTGTGCATTCTTTGTTTTTTCTGTGAACTGAAATGAGTGGATGAGCATATTTGGGAGCATCTTTGGAAATGCTGGCTCCAGCAAGACTGCTTCTGCTTGCCATTCCAGCTGGAGCCAAGCTGCTCGTGTTATGTCTCTCAACACAGATTTCTGAGGACAACAAACTGGGAAGAAATGTGGAAAAAAAGGGTTACAGGTCTCAGAACTGTCAGAATTTGATCAGCCTTTTCTAGTATGAAGTGGCAGCTGTTGGACTAACAGCTATTGTGGAGTTTTTTTTACTGTGGTTGTTGTTACAGATTTCACCATCACGCTACTGAGGCATTTTTTCCCCTCTGGGAAAACAAGTAACAATTTTTTCATGTATAACATTTACAATATATTTCACTGTTAACTTTTCTTCTTCAAATTGTCTGCAGTTATGGTTTTATCTGCCAGTTTCATTGTACTGTAGCTGTAGTTTGTGACTTCTTCTGTCTTTGTTGGAAGCATTTACCCACTTGCAGCACAGCAGAAGTCTTACACTAAAAATTCTTCTTTGAACTGCTGTTTTCATTGACATGCACATAAACATGCCTCTACTTGTCTGAAACTGTATTTCTTTAAAAAGGATCGTGCTTTCATTTCATCTTAATAATCTGTGTAGTTTCCAATTATTTCAGCTTTATTCAGTGTGTTGTTGGAGAGTTCCTTTCTGTTAAAGAAGACACATAAAAATGTGTCCTTTTTTGACCTGCAGTGTCTCAAGTTATAATCACTTGAGAACTTAACGTGCCTGTTTTAATCTTTTGAAAGGCTCTGTTGGCAATGTATCACAATTTCAGAGATTCTCAGGCAGTTCAAAAACATGACTTTAAACCATTTTGCCACAGTGTCACTGCTTGCTAATAGTCAAAAATGCCATGGGGACACAGGTAAGTTTTATTCACCCAAAATGAGGGTGAACCACAGCAGATTTGTCATTCCTGTGATGGAATTGGCAGCTGCTGACCTGTGTCTTTTGGTTTGGGAGATTGATTTGCATGATTTAAGATTGTAATTCTTTATTGCTGTGTGCATAATTGCTTAATTTCAAATTGCATGTGTTCCTTGAGGTTCAAGTCCAAACCCACCTCGCTGAGGGGGTGTTGCTAAAGGCCTTGCAGGAAGGTGGTTGGACCTTCTCTAGCCAGATGTGTCAGGCACACTCAGTTATGAACAGATTGTTTTTCCAGCCTCTGTAACTTCCTGGGTTTGGAAGCATGGATTTCCTCTTAGTTGCCATTATACATTACAGGCACTAGTAAAATATTCCTCCTTTCTTTCAAATTAGTCTGTGTTTCTTAGGAAGTGAAGATGTGATCAGAGTCCATGTATTTCCTTTCTGTTTTTTAACATACTGTTCCTTGGGATCTTATCCTCTGATTTAAAAACTGAAATAAGCTGTTACACAAATAGCAGGTGTGGATGTAGTGGTGAACTCCTTTACCAGAAGAGTTGTCCATGTTTCCTAAGCACTAATGATCCCCAAAAAGTCAAAATACGAGTGCTTGAAGGCATCATCCCTATCATTTTTAATACAAGCACATTTTGTAAAGATGTGCTTGTATTAAAACCAGATTAAATGCCTCTGTCTTGTATGAAAAGTTAAATAAGCAAACCTTCAGAATTTGGTTGCCATAACCTCTCCCTACATGTCTTCATGTAGTCACCAGTTAAAGAGGGCATTTGGAATCACTGGTGAAGCTTTTCTGGGTTTACTGACTTTGCTGCTGAACACCTTGTGAGTTGCCTGCCTCACTTGGCTGCAGACACATAATTTTTTTCAGTGATCTAACTGTGACAAAATAATCAAAGGTGATCTCCAGCGAGCACAGAAAAGCAAGATATGGAAAGGCATTGTCTGCATTTGTTGGATAAATGCACTGAGGTGGGAGCTGCTTCTACAGCAAAAGATTCCTGACCAACTAATAGTGATGCTTAATTAAAAGATTCCATTAAAAAGATTGTCAGGCTCATAAGAGCACCACATAGATCTTTCCATGTAGACCTGTTTGTTGCTATCCTCAAAAAAAAGAGGTGCTCAATGCAGTCAGCTTCTTAAATTTGAAATGTTTTCTTTGTTGGCCCCTTCTTTCTCAGTTTAATTTGGGAGTAGAAACAGAAAAGTAGCATTTTTTTCTTACGATCTTGCAAGTACTGACAGATGATTAGTCCCAGGTGATTTGTGGGTGCCATTTGTGTGCCTGGCTCCAATGAGTTTGATAGTGTGGGGCTGTTCAAACGCCAGCCCCTGGAGAATTGCCTGGGATCTGGGTATTTCCTTCAGCAGAGCTGTTGACAGGCCAGTTTTTGGAGGTCCCAGGCATTTCACTTTCCTGCTTTGAGGAGTTGAACTGAACAACAGCAAAGAAAGATTTTCCCTCTAGTCTGAGCAGGTGCAGGATAAATGAACGGACCATTTGATGAATTGAAAGATTTTGGAGATGCCATGTTGTTGCTCAGTGAGTGAAGCATTCCTCCCGCTGTTGCTGCTGGTTGTATTTTGAATTTAATAGCTGTAATGGGAAGAAGGTGCTGTTGTTATGGGAGTGGAGTGTATCAGCTCTCAATCCGTTTTATTTTTTCATTTTGAGAAGCCAAATATGAAGGACTTTGGAAAAGTCCAAAATGAGAAGCTGAGTCTGTAGTGTCAGCTTAAGAAAGCACCTCAATACTGAGCTATAATGTTTTGTTTTCTGTGAACTTGCCCTTGGTTGCAAAAAGTAGATGTGTATTGTGCACTGAATTGTACATTTGTTTTACTTTCTCAAGTGCAGAAGCACCAATTTTTAAGGGAAAATGATGAAGTTAGCACTGTGGAGCCCAATGTGATCCACACAGCCTGGCTGAAGAGGCCAGCCTTTGTATTCCAAGTAGATGATTAGGAAAGGCATGCACTTATTTAACATTTATTTTGAATTTCTTTTCTTTTGTCTATTCTTTCCGTGGAAGAAATTTCTCTTCATCCTGTATATCTGCTAGGGGACAACCATTAGAGACTTCCATGTGAACAGAGAAAACTGGATTTTATTGTAAACTTCTGTTTTCTTAAAATTCTTTTTCAATGTAAGTCACTGCTACTATTGTTATCTTCCCTGCTCTCACCTAGGAAACAGAAACAAACTAAATATACTTCCCTTTTTTCTATAGGCTTTTTTTTTTCCTGTCTGAAATGAGTGAAAAATAATTTGGAAAGTGTTTGCCTGATTACTGAGGTTTTGTTCTCAGTGTTAAACCAAAAAAAAAAAGAAAAAAAGATGATCAAACTCTGCCTGTAGAAACTGAAGTCTGGCAACACATTTGCTGAGTTCAATATCATAAGTGCAACAGCTTTGATAGAAAATTTGTGGTTCATCATGTACTGTTGGGTAAAATTGTTGTTTAATACTACAGTTGTTAAAATTCCATCATTTTTTTAAGGTGCTCTTAATTTGTGGTACAATCGCTTTGGTTTTACTCATTCAGATTTATTTTGGTTTTTAAATACCAATCCTAAATCCATCCTAAGGTTATTTCACTATAAATGCATTTATAAATGCATGGTTGCCTTTCCAGGCACCCATAGTGAGGAATCTGTCAAAGCTGGATTTTGCAGTTACTTTTCTGGTATCAACCTGAATCCAAAGAAGCTGAATGATGGTTGCATCTCATTTCTGTCTGGGGTGTGATTTCTGTTTTGGGCTCATTATTATATTACTCATTACTATTATATATATAATACTATATATAGTATTATTATATTACTCATTATTATAGTATTTGAGATTATGTCCTCAACTATTACATTCTTTTTTCCCCCCATCTTTCTTTCTTTTTCCATGAACTCAGAAGGTATCACAGAACCATCCAGCAGTGCAGTGTGTGTGTAAAGCTGCTAATAAAACAATGAGAATTATTAAAATAAATAAAGGTCATCCAGGGTAAGAGTTCATGGAGTTTTCCAGCATTAGAGAACAAAGCTGTATTAATAAAAAGAGGCATTTAGAAGTTTTTTGTGTTCTAGTGGCCCCTCTTTAGCTGGAGCTTACAGAATGCTGATGCTCTCTGATAGCCTAAGCCCCAGATCTGTGAGTTTTGCCAGCAGCATCAAACTGAGCCAGTGTTTGCTTAGGGGAACGGGCCACTGCTGTCAGACTGGGTGGTTGTGAAAGCATGACATCGACCTCTGTGGTGCATAGGTTATTTGGATTTGGTTTGAATGCTTTCCATGCTGATTTAACCTTTTTAAATCAAGTATATTATTTTTCATCTTTGAGAATGTGAGAGTTCTCTCTGTCGTGTGGGATCGTGAACAGTGAGATCTTTTAGCACAAGAGCAAATGTGTCTTCTAAAAGATGAGGCTAACATTGTTCTGAGCATTGAAATTCCTGGCTTTTTGGTGGATTTTCCCCTTTTTTATCCCTTTCCCCCCCTTTTTCCCCCTTTTTCCCTTTTTTCCCTTTTCTTCCCCCCTTTTCCCTTTTTTCCTCCCTTCCTTTGGATATTTACCAAGAAAGCATCTAAGAATCCTTAGCAACTTGTAAAGGAGTGAACACAGTTCAGTTAAAATATATCTGCTCTTGCTTATATGAAAAGCAGGTTTTAATTTACAAAAATCAGCTCCATATTTGGAGTAAAGAAATAGGATTATGGTTCTTCTTGTGGGAAGTGGGGTAAAGGTTTTATGGGAAGACTTGCTTGATACTGGAATTCTGGTGCTCTGTTGATAAAGTGGATGAGGTGGTAAATAATATTATTGTAGTTTTGAAGTCATGGGAAATCAGAAGAGTTTTTTTTTTGCTCTATTGGCTTTGAAAATCAGGAGCAGCTGTCATGTTTATTACTAAATATATCCTAAATGCAAAATACAGAAAAATGCTTTTGACAACCTAGTCCTCCCATCTTTTATAAACTTATGTGTGATAGGAGTCAGTTTTATTATTATTTTGTTTTATCTTTAACCTTGAATTGTATTAAATAGTTGGACCTACTTCTGAAACTTTTTTATCATGCATGTTTTGATAAAACTATAGGGGCACCTTTATAGCAAGGTCATTCAACTCTTCAAGCTGTAGATATTTAAACACTAATATATTTTTTGTTTCTGTTGACTTGAAGGGAAGTTTTAATGTGAAAGTCGTTGGAAATTCAATATTGAGGGTTTGTGCTTCAATAGGAAAATCAGAATTTTTCAGTGTGAGGAACTGTTAAAAGGGTGTCTGTAGGAATTCAGGGCTCCTTTGAGTTATGTTTGCCTGATTAAGTTTATTTGGAAATACTCTGAGAAGAAATAGGCTGTGTTAGCTTTAACCAGAATCTCAAAAAGACTGATTCTTTAAAAGGGGGGAAATATGGCACCAACATGGAAAACAATGTAGGTAGAAACCTCAGAGGCCTAAATTTAGGGAAGAAAAATTGTGCTATATTTTCTATAAACTGTAAAATCACTGTCTAGAAAGGATTTAATTTTGATCAGGAAATAATATAATTTTGAAAGGAATCTCTCCTAACAGTTCAAGGCAGGATAGCAAAATTACTGACTTTTCACAAAACAACCCATCTTTTTTGTATGTAAATAGAACAGATCTTTATGCTGCAAGTGGAAGAAGTGCTAACACAAAATTTCAATCCAGGTGGTGTGTTTTAAAGCCAGTGTCAATGCTAATGCGTTCTGTGAGTGTGGGTACTTCCCTTTTTTCCTTTTCCTTAGAATTTTCTCATTTCACAAGAACTTGTTTTTGTGCCCATGAAATATGACATATTTTTAGATCTAGGGACCAAAGGCTTTTCATTTTCAGTGGGAGAAGGTACAGCCAGATTGCAGAGAACATGTCCTGGCATTGCTGCTCTCAGACCTCATGGCTTATCTGAGGGTCGTTCCTTGTCCTCACACTGCCAGCGCTGCTGGGGGAGTTGTGAAAGGCTTGGAGAGTTCCTTGAGAAATAAATGTGAAGTGGGTGTGTGTTGAGATCACAGCACCATTGTCACGTAGTAGTTTCCATCACTTCCAGCTCCAGCAGCTCCCAGTTTAATCCACAAAAAATGCGAAGTCTCTTCATATCTGTTCCATTTGCATTTCTGACTGCAAGCCAGTAAAATGATGTTCATTTAGCAACATATTCTAGTGTGTGTCAGTAGTGTTCTGTGACCCTTTTTATGTTCAGTAACAGTGTGCTATTTATTCCAGGATGATGTGATGATGCCACAGCGGGTTAGGCTGCAGCACCAAGTTGCCATTCAACACCCAAACAGTGTGAGTACTTTTTTCTTGTGTGTATTTCTGGGTTTTTCTTTGACAGAGTTCCGGATACATCTTTAAAAGGATATGAAAATTTCACAGTGGGGCTGGGGGAGGCAAAGCAATAACCAGTGTATTCTCTTCCTTTATTTTTAATCCTTGCACTGAATGGGAGCTTTGATTGAACTTCTTTTCTTCCTTTTATTTTCTCTCTTCAGAAAACCAGATCTCATTACAACAGTGATACTCTTTAGCAAATAAGTATATAGGTTTGGCTAATGTCTGTAATCTAAACGAGAATGCCTTTTTTATGTAGCCTTTCTAAGTCATGTGAAAAGCTGCAAAGGATTGGCTACAGCTATGGTTTATCTGCTTTTAATAATTAAGGAACTGTAAACCATAGGGAATGTGTGGGTTGTTACCACTGATGAACTGCCTGCAGTTCAGCTGATGTTTCTCTCTATGTCTGCCTGTAAAATGAAACATTATTAGAATTCCATTTTTTATTCCTGTGAAATAAACTGTCAGGAATATTCTGTGAGAGAGTTTTTCTCTGATCTATATGATTTTGGTTTTATATGATTTTCTGTGATTAGGGGCAGTGTTCTTTAGAGAGAGTTTGTGCATATGTTCTACTTATTCAAAGATTGTATATATATGTGTGTGTATATATATATATATATCTATAAATAACTTGGCCATTAATTATATAAATAGCTATGGCAGTTAACTAATTTGTCAATACTACTGACAAAGATATTCCTTTACAAACTTGAAAACTGAGTTTGTTTTGTCAGCAAAGTCAGCCTTATTGTTTCCACATCTCTGACATTTTCTCTTGTGATACTTATTTCAATTTATCTTGTGATACTTATTTCAATGTGCCAGAGGTTTCTGGGAAGGAAAGGTTGATTGACTTGGTCTGTCATGAAGGTATTTCCTGTAGGGATCTGAACAAAACACACAGTTTTAGGATTATTGCTCTTTGTCAACTAAACACCTTTTGAACTTTTTGAACTACCAAAGACACTTTTTTTGGCTGAGGAATGTCTGCCAAACAACCTGCTGCTTGGTGGTGGGATGTGTACCTGCTCATCACACCACCTGTATTAGGGCTCTTCTGAAATCTGATCATCCTTACAATGGGATTTATTACATTGGAGCTTTAATAGTACCTGAGTAGCAGTTAACCTAGCTCATATTTCAAACACAATAAAATGATAAATCCAAAGTTGTTTTTGTTTTGATATCCATCAGTTAATGCAATTCTGCAGTCAGATGCCAAAAAAACCAGAAAGGCAAGTTGATCCAGTATGCTTGTTTTATGGAAATTAGTGCTAAGAGCTGTCATATTTCTTGCTTATATGACTTCTATAGATGTAAATGAAGACTTTTTAAATTAGACTAAATTCAACTAAACAGTTTGTAGTCTTTTTAGGAAGTACTTCAACTGTTTTGTTTATATTCTGTTATACTTTAGTGCCCAACAACCCTTAGTATGAACTATGAAATGACAATCAAATAAGTAATAAAGAGGACCTGAGTAGACTGAAGGGCCTTTGTGATCTGTTCTAAGCAACACAAACCTGTTACTGCCATGTTCCAAATTCAGGTGAATTTGTGGTCCTCTTTCAGTTTGGTTCTTGTGCTGGCCTGGCCTTGGCTGGGTTCTGTCACTCCTCAGAAGAACAGGGAGAAAGAGAAGGTGGAAAAAACTCATAGGTTAAGATCAAGGTAATTTATTAAAAGAAAAAGGAGCAGTCCTTTTTCAGTTTGGATCTGACTGCCACTGCCAGACCTTGCCCACACCCAGCCTTGTGGAGAGGGGGAATGTTGGAGAGAGCCTTGGGATCAGGGCTCAGAGCACTGGTGTGTTACCAGCACACAGCCCTGGAGGGCTGGCATGGGCAGAATGAACTCCATTTCCACCAGAGCCAGCACATCTTCCATGTCAAGGTACAGAAAATGTGTGGGGTGCCTGTGTGGGGTGTAACCTGCTGGATCTTACAGAGCTCTCATTCAAAGATCTGAAGGAGAAAGGGGAACATAGCCAGCTGTTTCTGGTGAGCAAATAGATCAGTTTGGTCCAGAGCCCCTCAACAGTTCTGACACAACTTTGAGAAAAGTTGGCCTGGTCACAAATCTACTGAGCAGTGGCAGGGTGGACTTCTGTTCTTAAAAGAATGATCTCTCTGCTGTCCTCAGAATAATATTCTGGCCTTGGAAGATGTTTGGCGATGTTTGAATGAAGATTTGTTCTGTGTTTGAAGTTCTGGCTTGGCTTCAATCAGTCTGATAAACCAGAGTAGGTGGAGGGGCAAAAAAAAAAAAATTAAAACAAAAAGCAGAAGGTTGAGAAATGCCTGTGAAGCAGTGAGCTTTTTTGGTTTGTTCCTGAAATTCTAATTTGCAGACTTGCACTTTCCACTGTTTTGCAACTTCTCCTGACCTGGATTTTTGACTTTATGCAGTCTCCATATACTTTCAGAAATTTTATTCCTAATCCTAGTCCTGCTGATGGTTACTGGCAGTCAGATTTGAAGACCAGTGCTCCCAGTGGGCCCTGGTATTGTAGGCTTCAGTCTGCTGTTGTTGTTATTATTGATCTACAGGTAGGAAAAGTGTCCAACTTTGCCCACCAAGAGAAATCTCCCAGGTCCTAATTAATCCCTGAGGTTCTTCCTCTTTTCTGTTACTCTTAAATGCAAATTGCCTTGCTCTGATTTGAAGTCTGGTTACTAAACAGCAGAACCAAAGATATCAGATGCCTCTGGGATCTTCCCAACAAATTATTCCTTAAAGAAACCCGTGTCTCCATCTCTGAAAAAGCAAGAAGCTTGCCCCAGGTTCAGGTAACACTGAGGTAACAGCAGCAGCCTTTGTGTCTCATTTCCTGGATCACAGACTCCTTAATTGTGCTTTAAATAGCAACTTAATTTCTATTCTCTTAAGCTGCTCTTATCTGGGACACTTTTTAAAAATAATGCGTGTAGGGTGGAACTGTTCTGTCCTTGGAAGTGTTCAGAGTGGAGGATTTTGGATCTCAAAATACAAATCACTAACACATTGTGCTTTTTCTTGAAGAACAACTGCTGTCACCTTGTCCTCTGGTGACTATTCTGCATCATCTCTAAGTCCTTCTCGCATGAATTCTGTAAATAGACACTCTCAGAAGACACAAGTTTTTGAGACTTGGTGTATTTATACTACAAATTCTTAAATTCTGCTTAAGAAATATCAGGCTCAGTGCAAATCCCTAGTTTGAGCAGTTGTGAAGCTCAGGGACATCACACTGGTTTTGTTTATCCCTAGAAGCTGCATCTGTCCCATTTATCCAGGATAAGCCACATGTTGCTTATTTACCAACCACAAAACATGTATGCTTTGTTGGCAGCTAATTAATAGGAAAATTCAAGCTTCTATTTCCCTTAATTCTGAAAAACTATCTTATTCTGTGTTCTTCTGGAGCTCCAACCTAATGTACCTACTAGTGTTCTACAGAGCAACTTTCTAAGTTTGTAGTAGCCCAGGAAATTATTTCCCAAACCACACACACTATGCAGTTTTTCACTCTGTCTCTCAATAATTCTGTTATTTAATTTCAACAGTGCTCTGAGAAATCCCAAAGCTTTTTGTTTCAAGGAGAGAGGGGATGTCAGCTGGATCTGCTCCCTGCTTGCCTTGTTGCTGGATGCTTCCAGCAGGCCCTGCTCTGGGCATGCTGAAGGAGAATCACTGGATCTGGGAATGATCTTGGAGACAATGAGTAACATTTAAGAGCTTATAAAATAACTAAACTTTTCCTCACTGCCCCCTACCTCAGTGAGAAAACAGCTGGAGTGGGAATGAGGGCAATAGAAATAAAGAACATTATTTCCTTTTGTTTTCTCTGGCTCAGTAGGAGGTGACTCAGTGGCAGTGTCACAATGAACACCTTTCTATTTGTTGTGAAATTGCAATCCTCTGTCTCAAACAGGTAGGATACCTGGGCATGTGAGAGAACATGAATATACATTTGCATTTCTTCAATGAGCAATTCTCACTATTTTGCATCTCTAAAGCAGATTTTTGGCATATTCTGTAGCTTGGCTTTAGATCAAGAGCAGCAGTGCCTAAAGCCATTTTTATCTGTTGATTATCTGCCTGTTAACCAATTCCTGAATTCTGCATATCTTTGATGGTTAATGTGACTCTGAGATGGTTGATGGGATCGAGCAACCTGAACAATTCCTGGTGGCTCACAGACCTGTTCACCTGCCCTGGGAGAGCTGAAACAAAAATTGCACAATCCAGGGAATTGGAGAAATCAGCAGATGAATGAGAGCTGAGCTGCTCCTTCCTTTAGGGCACAGCTCTAGCCAAAGGGATTGGCTGCTTCCCTCCCACTCCTGAACTTCACAAATTAACTACATTTAGAAGTTGAGAAGATTTTTTTTTTTTTTTTCCTTTTGGTCTGGAAACATACATTTTTTAGTTCGGAAAGTCAAGATTTAATACTTTTTTTTTTTCATGTCACTGTACCCTGTGCTGTTTGCTTGTTGGGACCTGTCACACCTTTCTGCCACGTGTTGGAAAGTAGCAAGGCTGTTTTTTCCTCCCTCCCTTAGAGAGTGCTCTGCTTACAGAGAGCACTGGTTTGAGTCATATCATTCTTTTCTTGTGGCTAAAATCATCAGATCCACTCGATTCTGTAATTTTGTGGTGTGAAAAGACAGTGAGTGTATGTGATGTTTTATTGAACTGCCATAAAGCAGAACTGCATCATGCTGAATGTTGTCCTCCATTTCAATTCAGTTCTGTACCTCTATTTATTTGCATCCTTGTTCAGCGAGGTTGTTGGTGACCTTCTCTCATTCTGTGTCTTTAATTCTGAAGTCCAGGTTTTACCATCTCCCCTTAAATTCTTTGTCCTCCTCTTGTGGCACATAGCTTAGCAGATTTTCCTTTGATAAATGCTTTATTTTGGATGTGAAGTCGATTAAAGTCTTCTTTGCATAGAACTTAAATAATCTTTT